TCTCTCTTCTGCTCACTCTTTCCGTGTTTTATTTTCTGTCAGTGGACTTATTTTTCCCTATCACGTTGATATGAAGGGAAAGTACAAGTTCCTCATTTCTGTTAGAAAATTACGAAACTAAGTATTTGCATTATTGTCTAAGATTAATTACTGATTATAAAATTATGAGATAATCACTCTGGAATTTAGTATAATAATATACCAGTTTACATGACAGCAAAACATAAAACCAGCACACTGCTAATTGACATCTTAAAAGTTCAAATTAACTACATAATCATCATTTTGTGCCCCTAGACCGGAAGCTTCTATTTTGTTTGTTGCAGTATGTCAATGTCAATGTCAATGTTGGAATGTTTATAAAACTGTCATCTTTCAACCTTCATTGCAATTTTTTGAAGGGCGACTTCTATTTCATTATATTTAGCCAAATATGTTGATTTTGGGTAGTACTCTTGTTATAAAAGCAAGTTTGAATATTTGAATTCATGCTGTTAGCAGATATCATGAAGGTCTCTGCCCTCGCCTTACCTGGACGGTTTCTTTTCATGTTTTTCTCTAGGACAGATTTACATTCCATATCCTTGGTAAATGAGCATAATTAGCCTGAACGTGGTAAACCATTTTTCAAATTTATTTTTTTGGGGTTTCAAACCCTGCCCTATGCACTGTTTATTCAGCAAAAAAATGTTGGTCTTTGTTATAATAAATTTCTTAAAATGAATATAAATGATAATATACAATGAATTTGTTTTAATTTAATGAAATAAGGTTTTGAATCGAATATAATAGGTGAATATAATAGTAAGAGATTTTGGTTCTAATAATGTTGTCATGCCATTATTCCTTGCTGTATCCTATATTTTGCTGCGTATTTGACTAATTCACTGATTAACTTTCAGGCCTCATTACAACTTAAATCTTCAGAGCATTGCTGTCAATGGACAACTTCTCTCAATTGATCCAAATGTATTTGCAACAGCCAACAATCGAGGAACTATAGTGGACTCTGGCACAACGTTGGCATACCTCGTTCAAGAAGCTTATGATCCTTTTGTCAGGGCTGTAAGTTTTCTTTCACTTGAAATTTTGTAAAATTACACTGTTGTGGCAAAGTTCTGTGATTTTGTTCTCGAAATGTGTTTCTTTTAGTACAGAAATTCTGCCACAACCCTCTACTACTTAATATAAAGGTTAAAATTTCCTTAATTATTAGAGAATTTTCAAGTAGGTCCTAAACTATTTTTTTAATTACGTCCTTGATCATGTAATTTTTTTAATAGAATTCCTAGAGTTTTTGAAACCACCATTAATTGTCATTTTCTAGCTGTTTCAAGCTGCTAGAAACTAACCCCATGGACCTAATTTTTAGTTTAGGAACCCAATTAAAAAAAAAGTAGTTTAGATACCTATTGAAAATTCCCAAATAGTTTAGGGATCAACCGAGTAATTTAACCTATAATAGATGGTAAATGTGAGTAACAGGAAAAGCCTTCTGTCTCAAGCGGAAGACCAGACTGGTAATTTGAGGTTGTCCTCTAATTTAAATGTCATAGTTAACCGAATGATCATTTCCCAATGATGGTTTAAGATCTATGTTATAAGTTAAGTCTTCTGTAAGTGACTATCTTCACACCCATTAATCTGTTTACACAATGTCTTGTTTGGAAAAAATTCATTGAGTAAAGTACCCATGATAACCAGTTGCTAACTTCATAAATACACAATATGAGAGTTTTTTCACACCCACAGAACCCTGTCTTTGTTTTTGCAAAAATGGGGGAGTCGCTGCAACTTTTCCACACACACTAAACTTTGAAAATGGAAATAATAACCATCTATCTATATGGACCAGAGAAACAAGGTTCAAGTCATAATCAAAGAGACTCGTTAATTTTTTGGCTACATCTTTGACTTCTGTTGCCATATTTTAGTGAAGAGTGAATACCCTCACCATCCAATGACAAAGTTATAAGGAGGCTTGTTACTTTATGCCATTTGTTGGCAGCCATCTCACTTGTGATTTCTGTGTCATCTGTTCACTGCTACATCATGTTGATTGTTGATGATTGCTTTTGACCAGTTAACTGTTGACTTTGACCATTTATCAGAGTTGACTCTGGACTAGAACCTTCCTTTGGTTTTATTAGCACATTTTGGACTTATTGCAATTTGTAGTCTCCATCAAGAGTTTTTTGGCTTCCCGTCACATTTTGGCCTTGAAATATCCATTTTAAGTGCATTTTGGACTTATTGTAGTTTGTAGTCTCCAGCAAAAACTTTTGGGCTTCCCATCACATTTTGGCCTCAATCTCCATTCCTAGTGCATTTTGGACTTGGTGCTGTTTGTAGTCTTTGGTAAGAGTTTTTGGGCTTCCCATCACATTTTGGATGCAAAATCTCCAAGTGCATTTTCTCAAAGTTTGATCGAAATTTGCCTGATATTTTTCTTAGGTTGAATAATTTGATAGACAACTAGATTTTAAGTGAGGGTTCCTCTATTACAGGGGGGAACCGAGCTGTGTAAATACTCCACTGAGCATCCCATACTATACTACTCGATGCAGGACTGGGGCACCCCATAATACCCAAGTCTCTTTCATGGCACAGCCCTAAGCCCTTGAAGGCACAGACATCTTGGCGGCTGGCACTCTACTATGCTTTACTCAACCTTTCTAGTTAGCCCCTCCATAGATACTTCTTTCCAAGTCAGCCAACATTCAGCTCTAATACCACTTGATAAGTACCCAAACGCTTGGGGAACTCTCCCTTAAAAGCTAGCTGTCAAGGGAAGAGTACCAAGCCAGTAAGTACTCAACCGAGCATCCTGTACTACTTGATGCAAGACTAAGTGCCCCATAGTACATTAATACCCAAGTCCCTATCACTCTTCTATTTTCTTTTTAGCTTCTTTAGTTACTTAAGAGTTTTTGTTACCAAGATATAGTATTCACCTGAGAAGTCCAAATAAAATGATAACACCAAATCTTGACTCCATGATACATGGGGATATATGAATATGTGATTAAATGCAAAGACTACTTCACTGTAGTTGTGTTATTAAATAGTATTTGAACTGCAATGTGAACCTATATCCTGATGTTTCACTATGCATTGGACACTGAGCCATGAAAATTTCTTGTCACCGTCCTCTCCCCTCCCCCGCCCCCAGCACCACAAAGAATGTGTTGCAGAGAAGCAAACAAATTTTTACTTGGGCTTATTTGTCTTGTATTTTAAATTTTTAAGAAATGATATATCGTGCACTGATATTGAATATGTGAATGAATGTGCAGATAACCGATGCTGTGTTACAGTTTTCGAAACCCATAACATCAAAAGGCAACCCGTGCTATCTGGTATCAAACAGGTTATTTCACTTTAAACTCAATTTTGTAAAGATCTTTAAATTTTTTTCCATCAGAGAAAGTTTTAGTCCTATTACAACAGGATCTGATTTGAATTTATGCTTATTCAGCGTAGGTGATATATTTCCTCAAGTCAGTTTAAACTTTATGGGTGGAGCATCTATGGTTTTAAATCCAGAACATTACCTCATGCATTATGGTTTCCTTGTAAGTATGTCTGTTAGTAGTTCGGTCACATTCTTGCTTCTTTTTTTGTTTCCGTAGTAGGAGTTATTCTTTTGAATTGCATGTCACCGATGATAATAGTCTGATGCCCCGCTACCTTAATTTCACAGGATGGTGCTGCAATGTGGTGCATTGGCTTCCAAAAAGTAGAGGAGGGATTCTCAATTTTAGGAGGTTAGAAGCTGGAAAATTATTTAAACAGAATACATTGTGCAAAGAGTTTGAAGAATAAAACACTTTCTCAAGTTTGATTATGAAATGGGCTCTTTAGTAAATAGCAAAGAAAATCTTCAATGGTTAATATGTCTTGTCTTCTATGGTAGTAAATAATATAGTCATTTCATTTAAGAAATTCTTCATTTTGGTGAGCTGTACATGGGATTGGCAAAACTGAAAACGCCGGATAAGGTGCTACAAAGAACCTTAATAACAGTTTATTTTAATGAAACATTCAAATAGGATTTTAAAATATGATTAGTAAAGGGATAGATTCTGTTGATGTCATATCATCGTTCAAATTAGTTTTCATTAGACATTTAATTTTGCAATTTCGTATTTATTTTGTGTCAATTATGCATCAAATTTATCAGGTCAGCAAGTGAAGTAGTCCCGTATTGAGTTTATGAAGTAAGTTGTTTTGTTCTTTTGCAGATCTTGTCCTAAAAGATAAGATATTTGTATATGACTTGGAAAATCAACGAATTGGATGGGCAAATTATGATTGTAAGCTCACCAAAGAAACTCTATCTTCTTCCAGCATATATGGTCTTCTTTACTTTGTCATAATCTTGAATTGGTGCTCAGGTTCCTTGTCTGTTAACGTCACTGTGGCTACGAGCAAGAGCAAGGATGCATACATCAACAATTCAGGGCAGATGAATGTGAGCTGCTCCCACATAGGCACTTTCTCCAAGTTGCTAGCTGTAGGCATTGCTGTTTTCCTTGTGCACATAATAGTTTTCATGGGGTCCTAATTTCTGTAAACCACATCCAAGAATCAAAGCTCTCATTCTTTGAAACTTACTAGGGTTGGCCGAAGTTTTATTTATTATCGGCATTCCCTTATGTTGAAACGGGTGGTGGTCTGCTCTGTATTTAATCTCATTGGTATCTTTCCATGTTAATGAGAGGATCTCATTGTAAAGGGGAACTGCCATATTTGTATATCTCTGGAAATTGTACTATTTATAAACTGATCTGACTACATCAAACAGTTTACTTGTGATTTTCATATTCGTGTAATTGTGTTCATTTTGTCACCAATGTAGATGATTTTTTTTTGTTATATACACAAACAATTATTTGTTACCTTAGATACACAAATTATCTAACTTCAATAAAGTATTTTTACAAGTTTACGAAAGACTGAAGTTCTTCTATTTATTTCCCCAAAGGAAAAAGTAAGGTAAGTTGGGAATATCGCAAATGTTTTCAATACAACCTAAATCTAAGAACGTTATAGTAGACTGTAAAGGAAATTGGAAAAGAAATATATATTTAAAATGAAATTTAATGTTTCTAGGAAGAATATTTTACATTAATAAATATAAGTAACCTTTGAATAATTTTCAGCCACAAAATCATTTAGCAAGTTCAAACTTAAAAATCATTTGCCTAATAAATAAACCAACAAACAATAAATTTAAAAAAAACATTTAAAGTAGAAAACTCATTCTTCCAAAAAATTTAAATTATTTTCAAACTATTGAGGAAGAGTCTCGAACGTCGAATTTTTAACGTAAATAATATTTTTTTAAAAAAAAATTACCAAAATAACACCTGTGCAACTTTATTTACACAACTAGAACCATTTACTGTTCACACTCAGAATTCGGTTCCCGGGAAACCAAATTCTGAGCTTCAAAAATTTTTTTTCTTTTTTTTGTGCTCAGAATTCGGTTCCCGGGAAACCGAATTTTGAGTTATTTTTAATTTTTTTTTTTGGTTTATGGCTGATTTTTCGCGAGTGTGGGAAGTGGAACGGACCGTTCTAGAAGCCGTTCTGCTTAAACACATTGAGTGTTTTTTTTACGCAAACTAGCAGAAAACGCAAAAAAAAAATAATTTAAAAACAACTCAGAATTCGGTTCCCCGTGAACCGAATTCTGAGCACAAAAAAAAGAAAAAAAAAATGTTAAACCTAAATATCCGGTTCCGGGGGACCCGAATTCTGAATGTGAACAGTAAACGGTTCTAGTTGTGTAAATAAAGTTGTACAGGTGTTATTTCGGTAAAATTTTTTTTAAAAAATATTATTTACGTAAAAAATTCCTCGAACGTCTCTATATATTTATTTAATAAATAAAAGAAAATATAAAAATATGAAATTATGATATGAAAAAGGAGAAAAAAGCAAGTATTTTTTTGTATTTCATTCTTTTAAAGTGGAAAGTGCACTTTAAAAGATAAAGTAAAGTTCACTTATAATTATTAATTATAAAATTAATAATTAAAATTTGTGACAAAAATAACTTTTTATAAAATAAAATTTAAAATTAATTATAATATTAATTATTAATTTTTTAATCAATAATTATTAGTACATTTTATTTTTTAAAGTGTAATTCTATCACTTTAAATAAGTTAAATTTATCTTTTTTTTTTATCTAAGTAGGTGCTTGCAGTTAAAAAATGATAATTATTGGTTTCCGGTAAAAAGATAAATAAAAAGCGAGTGAATTGTGCAATTTTTTTTAATATGATAATAATAATTCGAAGATAAAATGTATAAAAAAAAAAAAACGAAAAAAAGTGACTGAAATATGTATTTTGTACAAAATATAGGTGCATACTATATAATAAAAAGTATGTTAAACATGACATAATGCACATACACTAAAAAGATAGTATTACGTGGCTAAAGAGAGTATATTCGACTATACGAGCACTTTAAAATTATGTATTCGTGTCCGTCTCGTGTTCAATAACTTTTTTTTTAAATAAATTATATTAAGAAAAATATAATATTATAATAATTAAACGAATATAATATTTTATATATATTTATAACTATTTTGCTGTAAAAAACTATCTATATAGTTTTATAATATTAATTTTAATTTAATATTATATTATGTTACAATCGCCGTGTCTCATAAATTTCGCATTGCAGTAGAACCACTTACGTAGATTTGACCTGAGTACCACTCATCACTAATTATATATATAGTTGATTTTTTTATTCAATAAAAAGGTAGAATTCATATTTACTGGAGTTAATCTATATAAGACTAAAGTAGTATGATATTTTTAGCTCCATAGAATTTTATGTCCAAATTAGAGATTGAATATTAATTTTGAATTAAGAAAAACAAACGTCAAATCACTTGGGTTAATATTTTTAGTTAAACATGATTAATTTTGTGTTATAAGTGGTTAATTATGTTTATACTTTTTTTACAGAATCACAGACGAAATTAATCACATCAATAATGTAATAAAATCACATTCATTTATTCTTAAATATTTTAAAATTAAATTGGCCATATTTATTTTTTTTTTATACTACTTAGTTATATTTACATGCGCAGTTTACTACGTGTTAAATTCAATAATTCTGTGGAATCACAACTCTTGTGACATTCTTAATAAATAAAAAATATTTAAAATTATTAACTACTTGAAAGATAAAATTAACCACTTACAAAAAAAAAAATATATATATATATATATATATATATAATTAAATATAATCACATTCATTATGTTTAATCATCTATAAAATAAAATTAATTATATTTATATATGTTGTTAATGTTAGTGTTCAAGTATGAATAGAGTCCCACATTAATTATAATTGAATATGTTAAAGTAATATATAAGTGAAAAAAAATATTTACCTAATGTTTTAAGGTTAAGATTTTGCTGTGGTGTCAAATTTATTTGTTATGATTTACTCACTACTAAAGGATGAAGTGTTCCTCGATGTTCGACTCCCATACCAACAATGGTATCAAAGCTTGTGATGTGGTGTGAAGCTCATACTCCAAGTTTATTTATGTGGTTTACTCACTACTTGTAAATAAAGTGCCCCTTGATGTAAAACTCCCCATCAGTGGTATCTGAACCAATGGTTTAACCAAATGATTGATGATTGATCCACCACTGGCTCAAACAATTATTGGTTAATAAAATTAGCAATGTATTAAAGAGTAGATCATTATCAGGCAGTGGAGTGTGAATGATGCATTTCATTAAAGTGTGTTAATGGTGATACAAGTAAATCACCATTAAAATACTTGTGAATAAAAAAGACACCATTGAATACTTGTGAGCGAAAAAATACTTTTGCTTGAGGAGTGTGACCATGTGAAACAAATTCACACATGAGGGAGAGTGTTGAAATTTAATGTGAATTTAATCTCACATGTATTAGAGTTGAACGTGTTAAGTAATATATAAATGAGAAGAATCCACCAACCTAATATCTTAAGATTTTGAGTTATGTTATTATGGTATCAAACTCACTTACTATCCATGAATCGAGTCTCCACAATGTAAAACTCCTTGAAAATAGTATCAGAACCAATAGTTCAACCAAGCAACTAATGACTAGCTCGGTGGTGGACCCAAGAGTGTGATCCCTTATCAAACAATAGAATTGATAGGAGATCCAAGAGTGATATTTTCCCTTGTATCAAAGTTTTTCTGGAGTGTCACGTTGAAGTGTGTTAACAACGGTGCAAGTAAGTCATCTTTGAATATTCATGGACAAAAAAGACTTCTACTCGAGGAAGAGTCTAACCACGTGGAAGAGATTCACGGTACTTGAAAGGGAGTGTTGGAGTTCATGTATGAAAGTGTTTCATATTGGTTAGAGTTGAGTATATTGAGTAATATATAAATGAAAAAAGTCACTTACCTAATATCGTAAGATTTTGGATTATGATATAATATAGTATTAAACTCACTTTTATAGTTTATTTACTACTCATTGGTGAAGTGTTCCCTGGTGATCAACTCCCTAACAATTAACCACTTACACTATTAATCATATATATGAATATCAATATCAATATCATTAATTAAATATAATCACAATCATTTTTTTTAGTCATTTACAAGACAAAGTTAATTATATTTACGCAGGCTAATTTTTGATTTTTGTACAAATGTTCTAAGACTTTGCTTTAGACTAATTTGGTTTAGTCAGAAGGTAAGTAAAACCTAATCAAAAATTGTTTCCACCAAGAATCGACCTCGAACATTGTCGAATGATTCGACCTTGGATTCAACACATGAATTACATGTAATAATCAATATTCTCTTAACATTATTAATCACTTGTAAAGTAAGATTAATTAGTTACTATTAAATATTTTAATAACTTAATGCCACCAATAATATATAATCACATATATTTATTTTTAACCACTTAAAAAATTCTGTAAAAAAAGTCCCTTAAAAAAATAAAATTAACAACTTTATATTGTATTTCTTTATATACAAATTTAACCACGTTATAATGTATTTTTTATATATATACAACTAACCTGTTTTGACCCAGCCTGAGCTCGCCAATGGCCCACCAAACAGGCTAGCCCCGCCATTGATAAATAGGCTAAGAATGTTGGCCCGTCCTGTCTAAGGACGAGTTGGTAGACCAGCTCATATACCACTAAAAAAATTACAAAAATAATATATCTTGTGTTCAAATAAAAAACTAATACAAATAAATAAATATAACCACATGAAACAATTTTTAACGAGTCAACTGGTCGGTTCGCATATAAAACCAATTTATCATCCTTAATTTTCATACTAATTATCATACAAATAAATATTGTATTTATGATTATTTCTTTCTTCCATTATCTAAATATATTTGTTATTTTACACTCATTATATTTCAGAGCGACGATAAATATAAATAACAATTTGTATAACATTTCTTATGTTTCCGTATCAATTAGTATCTATTGTGTTTTAATTTTTTTTCTCTCTCTATTGTATAAATTATTGTTTTTTTAATAAATATTTTTATTAAATTGAGTCTTATAGAAATAAAATTATCCTTCAACCCATATCCAAAACTAAAATTGAATCGAGTCTTTTAGTGTATATGTTCTTGTTTATTGTGTATATATCATTTTTCTATATTTTATTTTCATGAAAATTCGCCACTGCCACTGGGATGGTTTTGTTTAGGGCAGGAGCGAATGGGAAGAGGGAGGTGTCCGCGGGAGCCGCCTCAGCTTCAAACCTCCACCGTAGAATTAATAATGAAAATTATTTATTAAAAGTTAAAAAAACATTAATTAGCACATTTGAGTTTCTTACATGTTTAATTAAATGCAGTGTGTTTTGCGTTTGCGATGGCAAGCGTTGCGTGCATGTTTGAAACAGTCCTCCTCCTCATTCCTCAACGCTCGTACGCCCGTCTCTTTCTCTCACTCTAAACTCTAAATTGCTATCCCTTTTCTTCTGCCCCACGCGCTCATCTTACTTCTTTTCCAATTAATTATTATTCCTAAACCATATATCCCATATTATTACACTCATCATACATAATAACCAAAGTTCCTTAAACGGACAGCATTAATTATCATTACCAAAACAGTGCAAGATTCACAACCAAGCTTCTATACTCTTTTTCCTAATAAGATAAGAAAAACTCATAACCAATCACATTAATTAAATAGATTAATAATAATAAAAATAATAGAGTTTGAAAAAGTAATAGTGGAAGGAAAGTGATCTAAAATGGAAGACAAGTGCGAAGCAGGCAGAGGCATTTACGATTTGTTGATGAGGTTGAGGCGCGAATATAATAATAATTAAAATAAAAAAAAAAAAAGGAAAGTGAAGGAGCGCGTGGTTTTGGGCGCGTGGGGAGGTTTATAGTATCGAACGGCCATGCATGCGGAATCCTCCTACACTCACTCACTCACACACACACCACCCTCTCTCTGTCCTTGGCCAAACGCTAATATCAAATCGTATCACACACTTTCTTTCTTTCTCCCTTCTCTCACTCACATAGCCATTAGCCACAATCCCCTGCGCTCGCGCCCTCTCTTTCTCTCCCTACACCGCGCATCGCAATCTCCAACCATGGCGGTTCCTCCCTCGGTCGCCGCCGCTCCGGCCTCCCTCTACGTCGGCGACCTCCACCCCGACGTCTCCGAAGGCCAGCTCGTCGACGCCTTCTCAGACTTCAAGACCCTCGCCTCCGTCCGCGTCTGCAAGGACTCCTCCACCGGCAAATCCCTCTGCTACGGCTACGTCAACTTCGTCTCTCCTCAAGACGGTGCGTTTCGCATTTCGCATTTCGCGCTTATAACCCTTTCTTGCCGTTCTTTTTTTTTTTTTCTTTCCTTAGGTTTTTTTAATATGTACATTCAAACTGATCGTGATCGTGATCGTGCTCGTTTCTTGATTAGTTTCTTGTTGTGAGAGATCTGAGTGTGTTTTTTGTTGTAGCGATTCGCGCGATTGAGGTGAAGAATAATTCCATGCTGAATGGAAAAGCGATACGCGTGATGTGGTCGCGACGTGATCCTGACGCCAGGAAAAACACTATAGGGAACTTGTTTGTTAAGGTATCTACTGGAGAGAGCTTTGATTTTTGTAATTGTTAAGGCATTGTTTGGTTCTTTGTTAAGAGTTTTTTTTTTTTTTTTTTGGCAGAACTTACCTGACTCGGTTGACAATGCCGGACTGCAAGATATGTTCAAAAAGTATGGGAATATTTTGTCCAGCAAAGTTGTCATGTCTGATGATGGAAAGAGCAAAGGATACGGATTTGTTCAATTCGAAACAGAGGAATCCTCAAGTGTTGCTATCGATAAGCTGAATGGCTCTGCTGTTGGTGATAAGCAGTTGTAAGTGAAATTCTGCATAATGATAGTGCTTTTCGTTGTCCATATATATGTTTATGCTTTGGAGTTTGGAGTCTATGATTTTTGTGTCTACAGTTAATTTTTGGTAATCAATATTGGTGCAGCTATTGCTTCCTGATATTAATTTTATTCTGATTGTTATGATTCTTGTCCAGATATGTTGGGAAGTTTGTCAAAAAAAGTGATCGGGTTTTGCCTGGCCCTGATGCTAGATATACAAATTTGTACATGAAGAATTTGGACCCAGATATTACAGAAGCGATACTGCAGGAAAAGTTTTCCACTTTTGGGAAAATTATTAGCTTGGCTATTGCAAAGGACAACTGTGGGATGCCCAAGGGTTTTGGCTTTGTGAACTATGATAACCCGGATGATGCTAAAAAGGCAATGGAAACAATGAATGGATCACAATTAGGTGCTAAGGTTCTGTATGTAGCCAGAGCACAAAAGAAGGCTGAGCGTGAGCAGATCTTGCACCACCAATTTGAGGAGAAACGGAAGGAACAAATTTTGAAATACAAGGTAATTGATTTCTATGCCATTCTCCTACATTTAACTAGTCATTTTTCATTTCAGTTGTCTTAGGGTATCATCATTTAACTTCAGGGATCAAACGTTTATGTGAAGAACATTGATGACAATGTAAATGATGAAGAACTGCGACATCATTTTAGTCCATGTGGCACTATAACATCTGCAAAAGTTATGCGAGATGAAAAAGGGATAAGTAAAGGGTTTGGTTTTGTCTGCTTCTCCACTCCTGAGGAGGCCAATAAAGCTGTGAATACTTTTCATGGTAAGTGAGCTTAGTCAATGATAAGACTTGGGTCCATTCACGCTTTTTGCTATTTAGATAAGTATTCTAGCAGTCATATGAAATAGGAATGCAAATGCTTACTTTTGTTTCAATAAAAGAATGTAAGATTACTATGATATACTCTTTATGTGCCTATGTATATGCCACTTTTTTCTTACATTTTGATGTTAAAAAATTGTAAGTTGAATATTGACAAGAATATACTTTGATAGTTCTTTTCTCTTCTTCACCTTATTCCATGAGGTTTTGATCATTGTTTATGAAAGACTACTAGAATCACTAGTTTGGTAGTTCCTGCCAGGGATTTGTGATTTTTTTTTTTCCTGTGTAGATGTGTACTGTGTGTTGGTGTTTTTGTTTTTCGTGAGGCTGGTGGTTGTTGTTGAGGGTTCTTTTTTTCGTACATACTCAAAAGTGTTCTCGGGTTGGTTTTTTATTCTTCTAAAAAATTGAAGAGAATGTTACTATAGCCATTTGGCTTATGTGATTGCTTAGCAGTAACGTGCACGAGGGTTGTATGATATACGACAAATCAATCCTACATGTTAACACAAGTAAAAGGTATCCATAAATCTGAGAATATAGTTGTCATATATCACTTTTTGTATATTGGTTTGGCACTAAAGTTCTGATCTTCAAATTTTGCATCTGTCTTTTTACAGCTTTTTTTAGTGACAAATTTGTATGATATACGACACAATCAATCCTACATGATAACACCAAGTAAAGGATATCCATAAATCTGAAAATATATTAGTCATATATCTCATTTTGTATATTGGTTTGGAAATTGGAACTGAAGTTCTGATATTAAAATTTTGCATCTCTGCCTTTTTACAGCATTTTGTTGTGAAAAATTTGTGAAATTTTATGTAAATAACGTTGCATTCAGCACCATTTGTCTGCAATACCTTAATTAAGTTGTTGTTATGTATGTACCACAGGGTTCATGTTTCATGGTAAACCACTATATGTTGCTCTTGCTCAGAGGAAAGAAGATAGGAAAGCACAATTGCAGCTGCAGTACGCACAGCAGATGGCAGGACTAGCTGGACCCTCAACTGCCATTATCCCTGGTGGATATCCTCCTTACTACTATGCAACTACTGGTGTTATTTCACATGTGCCTCCTCGTGGTGGGCTGATGTATCAACATCTGGCATTGAGGCCCGGATGGGGGGCTAATGGCTTTGCACCCCCTGCTAGATCATTTCAACAATCACCAGTTCCTGCAGTGAGTAACAACTTTGATAGGAACCCAATAAAAGCTTTATTTAATTCACTTTTTCATGATTGTTTTACTATGAATTTTTGGGAATGGGACTCCTGAAGAATTTTTACCATGAAGAAACTAAATAGCCACATTTATTTTATTTGGAACAAGTGAACAACTAGTCATGTTTCAACGAGAGTTGTAATGAGTCACTTGTATATGTCTCTTTCACAGGTTTCTAACAATACTAGGCAGCATGGGCAAAACAGGGGAAGGTTGAATGGGCATTCAGTAACACAGGGAAATACTCACTCTGCTACTTATTTACAACAAGCCCAGCAGATTTCTCAGTCAGTGATCTCTCCAAGAGAGACAAGCATTCAGCAGGTTTGCCTTTTTTGTTTGTTTGATTGTTTATTTTGTCCCCCTCATTTATAGATTAGAGTGATAATACACACAACAATTCATATAATTTATACAACATTTTTTCTGTGTCTATCTCTGTCCACTCTATCATGTATTACATTTAAAAACTTCTCTCTATTTTCTCTCTCTTCTATAAAATTTGTCGTACAGTTTTGTGCAAGTGTCATTTTTCTATCGAACATGATTCCTAATATATTACTCCTTTCTATTTGCAGTAATAAATGCTTTTGTGAACTTTCTCTACACAAATATCTGCTCTCTTGGCGGTGCTAGTGCCACTTGTTTAATCCAACAGCACTTTTAAAATGCACTAAACATATCCCAGAAACTGAACTTGAAATCATGGACCCCTTTCAATATAAAACTATATAGTTGTATTCATTTCAAAATTTATGTTTTAGACCCCTTTCTATTCCGATGTTGAATGCTCTGATTTCTTAACTTTCTATCCTTTGAAGAGAACTGGTCAGGCAAAATATATGCCTAGTGGACGCCAGCGCGACATGGAAAAAGGATCCGGATCCTCATCTGGTGGTTCGAACGCTGGCGGAGGGTCCCCAGAAATGCTGCATAGCTTGCTAGCTGGTGCTGCTCCTGAGCAGCAGAAAGAGATACTCGGGGAGCATCTTTACATGCTTGTTCACAAACTAAAGGCATAACAATCTACTATTCTCTCCCTCCCTCTCTCTCTCTCTCTCTCTCTCTCTCTCTCTCTCTCTCTCTCTCTCTCTCTCTCTCGCTTCCTCGAGGGTTTCTCTTTTGTTTTTGTTATTGAAGGTTAAATTTTTTAAATTCTTAAAGTATATTTACTATGCTATCTTGAGCAGCCTAGCCTAGCAGCAAAAATAACGGGGATGCTCTTGGAGATGGACAATGGAGAATTGCTGCTTCTCCTGGAATCGCCGGAGTCTCTTTCTGCAAAGGTGGAAGAAGCTGTCCAAGTGCTTAAGAACTCGAAGAGCAAGGTTTCTGGCCAGGATGTACTTCATTCAAATTACCTTTCAGCTGAGGTTGCAGTTAACTGAAGACTTTAACCTGATGATTCTTGTTTGAGCATAGATCATGAAGAGATTGAAGCCTCCAAGAACAAAGAAATTTGAGACATGAGTTTTGACATCAATGATTACCTTACAGTGTTTCTTCTACAGTATATTTCCTTATGAACAAAACTTTTTGTTTTCTTGCATTAGGGTTGACAAAAATTGGTAGTGACGATAAGAATCAGGGACAAATTTGTTTTGGATTTTGATTACATGGATTAACTTCGATGAATCGTGGTTCAATATTTTTTCATTTCGTATTGATTTGCTTTACAAACTTACAGGGATGTAAACAATTTTGAATCGAATATAATATGCAAACACATCAGTTTACTTTTGTAGTTTTGATAATAAAAGCCTTCATGTTTTGCAGACGTACAATCTACCACTTAAACCTTATTGGTGTTGGATTATAACCTTGTTATTCATCTGTAGCAAAGAGTTTAAGTCTTGTCTTAGTTGTGGATTAGAAGTTTAGAACCTTGTTACTATCCTTCAGTAGCAAGAAGTTTAAGCCATCAGTTTAAGATTTGCTAGTTATATATGTAGTTGTGAATATTTGTAGACATCAGAAATACAGGGAGCTAACTGAATTCCTAAAGTTAGTTTAGGGAGCTGATTTAAAATATCGCAATACTTACCAATCAATAGGTCTATTTGTTACGATTTCTTTTATAAAAGAATCATTTTTTAAAATTAATTTTTTTTTTTTTTTGGTACATAGGATGTGAAAAAGAAAGGGAAAAAAAAAAGAATATAAAGAAACTCAAGAAATCAAGTAAATCCGCAAAACAGGTGAACAACTCAACTACTAAAATCGTAAAATCCTCTTGAGATGACGTGTCTTTTTTGGTCAAAGCATTTGTACACGTTACCCTCCCAAAGAATATGTGACAGAGAACAATTCCAACTTCTATTTAGAAGACTGGATTTCTATTAACTCATTTGTGTAACAATGAGTAATGGAATGACCCTGATTTAGAATATTAATCAAAGTAAGCGAATCCGAACAACAACAGATCTTTCGAAAACCTTTCTCCCAACACAAACGTAACTTGTGCAACAATGCCAACACCTCCACATGTAATACCCATGCCACACCATCCCGCGACAAACTACGCAAGCGTCTCATGAAACCAAATAGAAATGAACCCGCATCATCCCTACACAAACCACCAAATTCTGCCCTCATGGGCTCACCAACCACACTTCCATCAACATTTAAAGCAACAAAACCCACAGAAGGTCTTGATCATGCCACAACCCAAGGAACTAGCGAACTAACAATCATAGAGACCTCAAATGCAGCACGTGACCAAATACAAAGTGAATAAATTTGTTGGCAAATAGTTTGAACCTTCATGCGATGCTGTTCAAACACCAGAAGATTCCAACTACACAAAATCTGCCCAAGGATAATCAATAATAATGCACCTTCTTGATGCCCTTATTATTCCAGCCAAGCTGTCCAGTGAACCCTAAGAGAATCGTCCCTCACATAGCCCAAGCCCAAACACTGCCAAACCGCCAAGCTCTTAGGGCAAGAGAAAAGACAATGTTCCATAGTTTCAATAGCTCCACTATACCTTGGGCAATAAACTGAGATGGATAACCCATGATGAGCTAATACATCACACGTTAGGATGACCTGGTGACAAAGTTGAATACAATTTAGTTGAATAATAGATAACAAATAATAGATTTAGTTGAATCCAATTTTAGTTTGGTTTAGTTTTTTTTTTTTTATTATATATATTTATTATAGTTCAAATTTGAATTCAATAGCTAATTTTTATATTTTTTGAATTTGAAAATAAAATAAAAAATTATTGAATATTTAGACAAAAAAGAATAAATAGGTGCTGCTATATGACATTTGTTTATGTGACAATTTTTTTTATATTGTATAGGTTAAATTTTATTTTTCTCAATTATCTTATTTTTTGATTTATTTTAATTTTTTATCTCTTAAAATGTTCATTATGATTATTTACTTCTAAATTTGAATTAATTTAATACTTTTGAAATAATAATCATGTAACAACCCAATTTGGTCCCTACACTGTACAATACAACTATTAGTAACAAAAAATATATGTCTAATTATTTAGGTGCAATATAAATACAATAATCTAGTAATGTAACCTATACATCTTAAGTTATCGGTCAAATATCTCTTGTGTCTGTACAAAACTACTGCCACAGGGTAGTCAACAAAATGTCCTCCATTTCTTATGACACTGGATGACCTCCATAGCAACTCTCTAGCCTTATCCCCTCCTTACTCCTATATCATGTATAATCATTATTGATGGAAACTTGACTTGGAATCGGATTGGAGTTGATTCCTCTTCAAGCCTCTCCCTAGACCTTTGGTTCCTTGGTTCCCTTTAAGCTTCTCCAAAGCCTCCAATGGTAGATTAAGCTTCAGAATTCACCTTTAATTGTGAGGAACACTCTCAAGTGGCGCCACTCCTTAAAGGAAGATTAGCCATTTCAAATCTCACCACACTCTTGTATGAAGAGGATAAGAGAAATGGATTGAAATCAAAGAGGTTGAGACTTTTGGAAGAGAAAAAATTCTGAACAAATTTCAAAAATCTCTCTATAATAACATCAAAAGTGTTTACAAAGTGAAGGAAAAAACTTATATAATGGGGAAGTGGCTTGTGGTGCAACCTAGGCTAACTATGGTTCAAGGAGAACCATGGTTAGCTTTCTTACACTCAAGCTAACCGGTCTAGTAACTTGGAAGCTTGTGGAACAAGCTAAGCTTCAAAACTTGTGGAGCAAGCCAAGCTAGAAGCTTGTAGCACAAGCTAACCAAGTGTGTGGGAGAAGTTAGAAGAGCTAGGTGGCCCATCTTGTTTTCCTTCACTTAATCCAATCCAAAAATGTTGGAATTGGTTTAGTTAGGTTCACCTAATGAGGGTGAGACCTAGCTAAATCAAATTCTTGGATTAAATGGAGCAAAACAAGCACAATATGTAAAAATTAGCTTAGGCCCACTACATGCCCAATTGCTAGCTTCACCTACACACTTTACAATTTGTCACCCCAGTTCTATTATTAAATATATGAAAATCAATTACCCTTAATACAAGGTCAAATGGAGTAAAAGTCTTTAAACAACATACCCTAAAATCCTAAAGGGATGACCTATAAGAAAAGGAAAAGGTGCCTTACAAATACAAAGACAAAATACACTTATAGAAGTATCTACTATATACAAGGTACAAGAACTCAAACTATACAATGTATATACAATAGAGACTATGAGACTAAAAAGAGGAATCATACTCAATGTTCATTTTGAGCATAGGTCTAAGAAGCACCACCTCTATAGAAGTCTCCTCTAGCCTTCTAACCACGAACCTAGTTAAAGGCCCAATGGTTTTCAAGTGTGAGCTCTCCTATGAATCAACCTTCACTTTTCTTGGTCTTACCTCTCCCGATCTTTAGGGATTAAATTTCCATCAATTATAGTCTACACCATATGGAAACACACAAAGGTAAGTTAGAGTAAAAATAAACAACATATATGCATCACATAAACATCACATCATCATTTCATCTTGAATAACGTAGCAACAAAGCAACATGTTATACAACACAAATTAGCACAATGCAACTCTAAATCAACATAGCATATGGGCAACACAACCAATTCGGCACATCATATGCTTAACATAGCAACTCATATGCTTCGTCACACATTTTAACTAGGGGATCTTTTACAACAAAAGATGAACAATTTAAATGGTTTGACCTTACCGAATCAGCAGCATAGGGTAATCTTTGTGGGATTGCTAGAACAACAGCAAATTGGATAAAAATCATAACATAACAACTCAATTTCTCGGATGTCACTACTTAAACAAGGAAGTATAATACTAATGTAAGTATAGAACAACTGGGTATGAGTCTACCATGACATTAGCTAGCTTAATTAAGACTCATTTGGGATTAACCCATCAACTACCCTCCAAATACTACAACCTTTTGATACTCAGTTAAGAACTAAGTTTTTGACTTCGTACTTTACTCGATTAGTCACTTGTAATCAGTATAGTTCAACTTGGCCCTTATATTGTAGTCGCTTCATACATGTGTACCTCAACCTTACCTACACACGGTACCAACAAAGTCTTAGAGGAGAAACAACTCAACACCCACTTCAAGGGTCAACTTTCCAAGAAGGATTTTGCACACAATGAGATGTGCAACTTTTGAAAATGTTTCCTCTAGTTCTAAGTGGTCAATACAACTCAACAACACAACAACTCATTATATTTTCAACATAACAACATAATCAACACACAACTTTTTAACTCATTTTTTCATCATCACAACTCATTTACAATACTATAATCAACATGCATCTCAACAACACTTCATATTTTTAGCATAACTACACAATCAACACATAACTAGGTCAACACACAACATGGTCAACATTCAACATACAACTTACAACTAACTCATCATATAACAACTCAAACAAGCAAGAAATCAACACTTTATCAATCAAATCATCATATTTTACTTCAACAACTCACGCTTGGCGTTACTCACCTTGTGCCTGACGTCATCCAAGCAAGGAGTTCTTTACCTCGTCTATGCTCAACATTACATATCCCACATTTGACATGGCTAAGGCAAAGGCCCTTGGGACCTCACACCTAGCATGGTAAAACACCACGCCCAACCTCATCTTAGGCAAAGAGTCTCTGCCTAAGTCTCGCCCAACATCACCACCACGACGCTAAGGGAAAACCAGACAAAGACCTCCAGCTTGGCCATGCTGGGCACCACATAACATTAGGCTTGACGTCACCAAGTTAGAGAGCTCTCAAGACATCCATGCTTGACGTCATTCAACCATGCTCAACACTATTATAACTCGAGACAAGTCTCTCTTATCACGCCCAACGTCACCAATCCTACGCCTAACGTGATCGAGACAAAGAGCCTCAAACTTAGAACAACGCTCAACGCCTTAAAGGTGCACCCGGCACGATATTAGAATTTTGCATCTATAGAACTTAATTTTCGAGCCAAAACCTGAAAATCAGCAAACATCTCACATGTGCAACCAAGAACAACTATTATATACATCACAACAAACTCATAAATGCACTTAAAATCAGCATGCAACCAAATATCAACTCAAATCATCACATTCTTCTCAAAACTCAAAAAACCTCAACTCTTAATACCTAACACTCTCTAATTTGATCTACATTCAGCCACGAATTTGAAATGAATTCTTGGAAGTTACAACCAACACCACCCTCAATAGCTCAACAATTCCATAAAAGTAAGAGTTTAGATTCCTTTACCTCGGGTAGCACAAATCTATGGAAGAAGAAAGGAGAACCAAAGTTTCGCACATAATCAACTATTTGAATCGAGGTTCCCGCCACCTAAATCACAACACCACCACTTAGAAGAGAATTGGGAAGAAGAAGAGAAGAAGATTGAGAGAAGAAAAAACTCACGGATCATAGAACTTCTTTCTATAATTATCTCTCTAGAAAGTTGAGGGAAAGAGTTTATGAAGCTT